TCGACACCGACAGCAGTGTGGCAAATACCACATAGTCAGATTAAATCACAAGACAGAAAGCCGTGTGAATTATGATGATCTAAGAAACACACATGCGCACACATAGCACAGTAAAACAAAAATTTTCCACAGCTGCTTCAACTGCACTCAAAATGGCCTTGTACAGTAACTACCTTTGTCTGTATGCCGATTGACACATCACCTTCAAACTGACACTTCAGCTTCTTTAATTGAAATTTCAGCTAACACTTCACTTATCTCCAGTGCTTCACCTTGAACTGAAATTTTTAACTTCTTCCAGTTTTTACTGTTCAAAACATTTAATTGCTTTCATAGCTTAGACATCAACTGACATTTCAACCGTTTTTAACTCTTGAATTGCAACAGTTAAACAGCTTTCAGCACTTATTATTGGTTCAGCTATTACTACTACTACTACCAGTGTTGTAGTTGAGTCTCTAAACCTCCAGTCCGAGTCCTGGACACAGGTACGCCAACACTGACTACTACCCACTTTCAAACTGATAGTTATAAGTAATTATAGGACCTAAATGTGAAAAATGTAACCTAACTTTCAGTTGAGATGCTTCCAGAAATGACACCTCAACTCCTTTTAATGATACCAGTTGTACCAGTTGACGCTCAAACCCTTTCAGTGTTTCAACATCAACCAACACTTCTAAATTTCCTTAGAAAATTGAAGTTTGTATTTTTACATTGACTGTGGTACGTTAGACATCAGACCATCTGACAATATTCCTCGTTCCACTGCACAATGTACAAAGATCTATCAAAATATAACAACGCTACCTCAGATAATCAATCAAAATGTATTTATAGAGCACATATTACAGAGAACAGTCAAGCTGAGCAAAGTGCTGAACAAAGCATACAGACAAACATACTTTCATGTCACAGACAATCAAAGACAGATATTCATCACACCACAGTTGTATTTATTGACCCCTAACTACCAACATCAGACTCAACAGTACAGCTCACAGGTGCCTGAAAAACTGCACATTAAAGCCACTGGGCCTACCGAGCCAAAGGTTCAGGGTTTATCACCTTCAGTCTAAACCAATCTGGTCTCCTTTGTATGCCAGCTAGTGAAATTTGCAATCTCCTTCTAAGCTTTTCAGTCAGAATGTGACCACATACCAATCTAATCCCCCCTAGCGCTGAACGCTTTGTTTAGGAAAATATCTCATGACCTTATTAAAGGTAATATAAGGCTAAGCGTCTGCGTACTATGAACATACTGTATTTGTATTTGTGAGAGGGGGGCTTCTTGCTCTGCCTCACCACTTTAATAGTCACATCTGTACAATTGTATGCAATTCAATGCAACACTTACCTTCTGCCATAACATCTGTGTTTATAAAGCTCAGTCTTTTTATTTTTATTTTTTCCTTTGGTGAAATTGTCATAAATGTCCCCAGCTACATACATGAGAGGGTCAGAATATTGGGAACATGATTGATGAGTACAGGCAACTCTTTTTTTTTTGGCAGTGGTCTCAGATTTATCCAGCCGTGGGATAAGCTGCCAGTCAGACAGGCCAGAGGGACTATATCTTCACAAACTGGCAAATTTACTACAAACATTGCAGTCTGCAGCACAGGCTGACCTTCCTCTGTTCAAGTACAGTAAAGGACTGCAGTGTGTGTGTGTGTGTGTGTGCATGTGTGTCCTTTGTATTTTACATCAGCTTCAGTGCAGTCAGAACTGATCTAATAATTTACTTATTAGGCCTTTATTTTATTTTATTTGAATGTTACATATAATATTTTATATAAATAGTTCACAGCATAATATACCCATATGCTGCAGTTACCCCAATGGATAAATGTATTTCAACATGTTCACTTAAGACTGAAGATCTTGTGGAACAGAGTACAGCATATAGCAAGTGGTTATATAACTATTCCAGTGTGACAGTAACTTTATCCTGTATCCGTGCGTGCACAGCCCAGCCACTGGTCCCACTCTGGCTCGGCTCAGTTCCTCTCTGTTACAGATGCACATCAAATATTCAGCAGGTAGCAGCAGAGCTCGTTGCTTGACAAAAACTATTACTGCAGTTGACTCACGGAAACTAACACCTGCTTTGCTCTTCCCCTCATGTTTTTATGTTCCTCTGTGCCGATAGATTTTCAATGTCTATTTTTATTATAGACGACGAACTGTCGAATTGTGAGCAAATTTAGTTTCCTGCTGTCCTGTTGCATAAGCTGGCAAATGGGGACAGAGACATTTAGTTTGGTATAGTTTTAACAGTTTAGTGCCTCGGTGTGTAATGTTATGTATGGGGGTGGGGGGCAGGAGCCATCATTCTGCACAGATTCTTTAGAGGTGTTGTTAGTGATGCAGTTTTGCAGAGAACACTTCCCTCAAGCCTTAGTTGTCCAGGTGTGTGTGTGTCCTCTTCCAGAGGTGACTGTCCCTGTGAGCATGAAGGAGGTGGGAGGCTACATAGAGAAACAGGTGGCATACCTGTCAGGTGATGCATTTTTGTTTAAACATTTCCTAAAATAAATTTAATTAAAAGCATATTTTGTCATAAACCTACCTTTTATAAAGAAAGTGACCGTTGCTCTTTTTCCCAGGGGGCCGTGGGGAACACTCCAGCGTCATCATCACTCTCCCTGAGTACTCAGCCTTCAGTGACATTCCAGAGGAAGCTTTAGCCAAAGTGTTTACATACCTCACTCTCATCCCTCGGTGCGTCCTCTGTCATTTATTCTCATCTGTCTCTCTCCCTTTCTTTGGTGCACCAAAAGCCCAGTGCTTGTATTCTGAGCACAGCTGGTCTTCACTGCTCCTCAGATGAAATGTGTCAAATGTCCTACTGATGTCCTCTGTGTCCCAGCCTTGGACATAGAGGCAAAGATTTTTTTTTTATCTCATGTATCATTGCACTGAATCTCACAATTAAGAGCTAATGCATCTAGCTACCTATAAATTAAATGAATATATAGGTAGACATGATTTGACCAAGCCACCTGCTCTTGACCAGTTATCCTGTGTCATTATATTGCCTGACCGCTTTAAATAATTAAACTCTCAGTGATTGGAACTATATATTGTATATATTTTTCTTCTTTTTCTGTTTTTTTGTCTTGGTTTTGCAGAACAAGGCAACCTGGGGTCAAATTTATCATCATTTTAGACCGAAGACTGGATACATGGGCCTCTATCAAAACTGCACTTGCCAGGATAGCAGTAAGTTTCATATTACTTTTCATTAAAGTCATTCATATCTAATCATTAAACAGAATAAATCTAATCAATTTTGACATAATGAACAGGGCAAATAGTTCTCATTGCTTGCGAGCTGTGTAACTGAACCTACTATATGCTGCTCTTTTATATCAGTTGCTGGAATCCTGACAAATACTCGGACAGCACCAGCTAAAGGAAGGCATGATTATTTCTGCGTAATTGTATAGTGTTTCGGACTGACGGTGTATAGTTTGAAGAGTAGCCCAGACTGCACTGAATGTAACATTACGCATTGCTGCAAATGTATGAACAAGCAAAAACTGCGATGACGCGAGGTGCCGAGGAGAGAAAAGGACGAGGAGGAAGCGAACGGGAGGGAAACGTTGCAGTCAGCGCTGCCACCCTCCGTCTGTGAGGCAGCAGGCAGCAGCCTGTGTCCAGGCGGCCGGTGGGAGCCGCATACCTCAACTTGGCACCGAGTTCCAGTGTGGACAAGCGGGAGGTTGTCTTACACCGACATGACTTCTAACACCATGGCTGATTGCTTTTACCGGCGGGGAGTGCCGAAGATCCGGAGGTTCCCGGTAACGAGCTGTTAGTTTAATACACCGTGTGGAGAGTTCGGGGTGAAGTTTTTGGGCGGGCAGGGAGACTGCGGCAGTGGCACCGACGGGATGCTGGCGAGTGCAGCACTGCGGTGCAGTGCAGTGCGCGCTCTGCTTAGTCATGCAACTGGCTGTGCGTGAAACCTAATCACACTGATGTGTGGCTTTTTAATGCACGGCTATCCTGAAACCAGAAGCTTTTGCTATCGATCCTCGTGGTTGTGTCAGGAGGACAAATGAATGTCAGAAGTTGCGTCACATCCAAACGCATTGTGATTGTCAGAAGAATATATGAGACAATGTTGTATATGAATCCTGCTGCAGAGCTACTTTTAGTTTATACCTGCATGATGCGTGTTAGTTTTCTAGGGTTGAGGTTTTCAATATGAATAGAATATTATATTAGATGTTGGCTGCCTTTGTGTGGTGTAACTATTAATCTCATCTTGACATGAAGTACAGCATATGATGTGTGTATATGGTGTAACTTTAGGATAACTGGTTGTAATCCTGTGAGTGACAGGAGAGTTAAAACCTGAAGCCTGTCCTGTCGGATGTGGAGGATGAAAGCTTGCCATGATGCATTGATGTGTGAATGAACAGACTGGCTATTGGGGAATGTGGTGTGTTTGCACCAAAATTAGCTTAAATACAAAGTTTTTGTTTTATAGCCTACTGATTCTCCCTCCTCCTGCAACGTGATCAGTGATCTCCCCCCCTACTTAAAGGCCTCCTTTCCTGGGAACCTCCACCTGGTCCTGGTGCTCCGACCCACCAGCTTCTTCCACCGCACTGTTACTGATATTGGCTTCCGCTTCAGCCAAGAGGACTTCATGCTCAAGATGCCAGTAAGGCAGCTTCTCCTCAGTTACCAAATGTGTGATACACCACAGCAATTTCATTGTTGTTACAACCCTGATCTGTCAAATGTTCTGTGGTGGAAACAGCCAAGAACACACTTAGACTTTAGTCTCGACCACTGAAACAACTATAAAAATATCGGGTGTTATGTTTAAATATTTGTAATATTTATGGTTAAAATCAGCCAGAAATGTGTAATATAAACGAATTTCAGTATTAGAGACTTGCTAAACCTTTTAAAAATTGATTATTCATTTATAAGTACCAGATATATATATATAATTTATGTGGCAAAATTAAACATACCTTTTGTGTACTTGGTAAAACAAGTGTCAGATGTTGTCTACACCTTTAGGTGGTGATGCTGAGCTCTGTGACAGACCTGCTGCGCTACATTGATGAGAACCAGCTGACCTCAGAGTTTGGAGGCACTCTGGATTACTGTCACACTGACTGGATTGTCTTACGAACGGTACGCTATGTTGGGAATAAACATTCATCTGTACTGTCCTGGTGCCTTATTGCTGTTAGTATTTTAATGACACTGACTGACAAATTGTTTCCCTTTTGTTCACCACACAATATTATCATTACCATAGTCCCTTACATTATACAAGCACCAGTATTACTGTGGTTCTGTGTTCAGGCTATTGAAAGTTTTGCTGTAACAGTCAAAGACATCGCACAGATGCTACAAGGCTTTGGCACTGAGCTGGCAGAGACAGAGCTGCCCGATGAGAGTAAAACCATTGAGTATCTCCTTGAGTCCCACACTGACAAGTACAGAAAACTCAAGGTAATATTTCAAATGTTTTCAACTGAAATTTATTAATCTTACCACAATGATATAATTCTTCTATTTTTCTTCAGAGTGGTCTAGTAGAATTTTGCAAAGTACAGTCATTTATGAGATAAACTGTCTGTTTGATAGGATGCAATCAGATCAGTGTCAAAGGAGGGTCGTCATCTTCTCTCTAGCCTGGAGACCTCTGGGAAGGAAGATGACTCCCATTGGGATGTGAAGTTAGACTGGGAGACAGTACAGAGGTAAGACACCCTCAGGCAACCCTTTTTAAATACTATATATATTTAGGTTATATGCTACAAAGTGTTTTTGAAAGTCGAACTGTAATCCACCACAGAGGTGAATGCTATTCTATTCCTATGGTTGAGGTATTTGTATAGGAAAGATCTATGGCAAGGTTCCTCTGTTTTAGGCTTCTTGCCCAGCTCAGAGACATGGAGTCTGCCTTTGATGGCTTCTTTGAGAAGCATCATCTGAAACTCCATCAGTACCTGCAGTTGCTCAGATATGAGCAAAGCTTTCAGGAGGTAAGGATTGCATATTATTCTGCATACAAGGTGGCATGGTGGAGAAATGGTTAGGGCTGTCGCCTCACAGCAAGAAGGTTCCGGGTTTGAACCCTGGCCCGACCCGGTGCCTTTCTGTGTGGAGTTTGCACGTTCTCCCTGTGTCTGTGTGGGTTCTCTCCGGGTACTCTAGCTTCCTCCCATAGTCCAAAGACATGCAGCTTAGGTTGATTGGTGACTCTAAATTGCCCATAGCAGTGAGTGTGAGTGGTTGTTTGTTTACATGTCAGCCCTGTGATAGACTGGCGACCTGACCAGGGTGGACCCCACCTCCTGCTTAATGTCACCCCCCTAAAGGCGTGAACCCCTTAGGATAAGCGGTAGAGATGATGGATGGATGGATGTTTGCGTACATGCCCATATTTACAAACTCACCAGAGGATAACCTATTTTAATTTTTAGCACTTCATGAGATATATGGTTTTGCAGGATCTCTAGACTCAGGTTTTATTGTGGGTTGTAATGCCTCTGTGAGGAACCAGGTTGACTTCAAACTGTTAATCTTTTGTCTTTTTGGTCTGTGTATATCTGATGGGTTTTTTTCTGTTTAGGTGGAGTTATCTCTGGAGCATTTAACGGCTCAGGAAAAGGAGCTGTCCATATCTGTGGACACTCTGGTGCAAACAGAACAGGCTCTCAAAAGGCTGGACAGTCTGGAGTTTAATGCACAGGTCACCGTTTTTCAGACTGTCATTAATTGCAAATAACATTAACTTGCTTTGTATAACAGATGGGTTTGCTACAAACAGGAGAATGTACAGTGGTGACAAGAAATCAATGTCAAAAGCAATGTCTTGTGATTTTTTGTTGGCTTTATCAGGAGGTGATGGCTCGAGCCCAGATCATTATCCTTCATGGACACCAGCTCTCAGCCAGTCACCACTACGCCATGGCTCTCATTATGCAGCGCTGCAACGAGCTTCGCCACTACTGTGATACACTCAATGCTGCTCTCAAGACCAAACACTCGCGTCTACTGCACACACACCAGTTGTTGCTTTGTCTTGGACAGGTACTGTGATATGCACCTATTTATGCCCACGTCAGTACACACTTATAGTGATACTGTATGTGCGCTCTACCTTCAGGCCCAAGGTTGGTGTGATGATGGTGCATATCTGCTGGCCAGTCAGTTGGTAAATAAGTTCCAGTCTAAAGAGGGGGCCCAGGCTGCCTTGAGGGAGATTGAGACATTTCTGGAGGGGGCGCCATCCATGCTGAGCTCCGGACCCGACATCCTGGCCATTGAGTATGAGGCTGTAATCACACCTCAGCTGCAGGTAGAATCCACAGCTTTGATACTTTATGTGAAAAGAGTTCAATACATCCAATGCTACCAGCACTTTTTGGCTAATGCTGCTGCCGTCATTTCTGTTTGTTTCTCAATTTCAGTGCTATTTGTGGATTTTACATCACAACTGAATATCCTGCCTTTGTGTCCTTCTCTCTCTGTTAGGCCCAGATATCGAAAACTTTTGAGAAGCATGCAGCGGTGCAGCAGATGATCCAGAACCGACAGGCTTGTCTGAGGAAGATGGCTGATAAACATGTGCGACCGGTGCAACTGGTGGCCCCCAGGCCTGAAAACCCACCGCACTCCAAATCTCCTCTGTTTTCCCCCAAGCATGGTACAGCACAGACACACATATACAGTGGGTATGGAAAGTATTCAGACCCCCTTAAATGTTTCACTCTTTGTTATATTGCAGCCGTATGCTAAAATCATTTAAGTTCATTTTTTCCTCATTAATGTACACACAGCACCCCATATTGACAGAAAAACACAGAATGTTTGACATTTTTGCAGATTTATTAAAAAAGAAAAACTGAAATATCACATGGTCATAAGTATTCAGACCCTTTGCTCAGTATTTAGTAGAAGCACCCTTTGGAGCTAATACAGCCATGAGTCTTTT